ACGTTGGCTAGTGGACAACAAACAATATGCATATAGCCGCTAGAGCAGACAGGAGACGAAGACGATAGACCAGAGACAAGTGACGAAGATAGAGATTAGGCTATAGACGAGAGACAATATACTATAAACGTATAGACGAGAGACTGACAAGGGGGGTGAAGGACGGGAGATCATTAACTCTCGATATTGCATATCTACATTTTCAGATTGAGTCATCCTATATTTTTCCCTGTTTTATTGTTTTTCGGGCCTAAGATCTATCAACAACATTCTGAAAGCATTGTGGAAATGTCATAGAAAGATTTACCTACGAGCGAGAGAGTGAGCCCTGCACGTGCAGAAGGGCGAGAGGGTACTTCCAACGGGCTTGTGCAAAGCACCCTTCTAACCGGTCGCTAGCGGTGTACCAAATTTGAACGCAATCGGCCCAGCCGTTCCTGAAATCTGCAAGCGGCACTCTGCACGTGCGCACGTGCAAACGGGGTCCAAAATGACTTTTGCACGGCACCCTACTAAACGGTCCCCAACCGTGTACCAAATTTGAGCGCAATCGGCCCAGCCGTTCTCGAGATCTGGAAACGCCCCCTGCACGTGCGCACGTGCAGTAGCACCCTAACCGCAACACATGGGAATGCATTGCCTGGTAGGTGCCTACCTGTATGCCAAGTTTCAGCGAAATCGCCCCAGTAATTACCGAGTTACTGAAATGGGAACAAATTTGGCACCTCTTATTGTTGTATTTTGCACGTGCAGTGGGGGTCACTCACATAGATGAAGAGTATCCGACCTTTGGTAGAAGGGATGCAGCTACCCTATAAAAATGACCGCAAGACAATCGCTCAAGCCGCTGCTGAGATATGGGCCTCTCAAAATCATTACTTTTGCAAAACTGCTTGAACACCCTTGACTTTTCACGTGGCACGTGCCACGGCGGTCACTGAGATGTATCAAAAGTAGTCAATTACGGGGTAGAAGGGATGGGGCTACCCAGCAAAAAAGACCGCAGGCCATTCGGTCCAGCGGTTGCTGAGATATAAGCCTCTCAAAAGCGTTACAGGCCGGGCCGGGCCGGGCCGGGCCGCTCATACTGAGATTTTTCCGTTATATTGAAAAGACTTCGCTTCGCTCGCTGCGCTCGCTCGCTCGTAATTATTTTCACCCCCTCCAAAAAAATCTTTTAAACAAAAAAAAAACGAAATACCTACAAGTATCTATGTGGATATCTTCAATTAAATAAGGCCGTTGAATGCAAAGACAGTAAGGTGAATTCTGTCCCGTTACTCCTTAAATGCACAATAGCCTGTAGGAAAACGGCTGCGGAGAGGCTCGCTATAAATTATTGAAAATAAGATTATTTTAAGTCTGCATAGGGAATAACATTCTGTAGCTAGGAGTGCTTATTGTTTTATACATACACCGTCGCGATCTGCATTGAATTCTTCATCCTTATTCTCTCCGCGCGAGATACGACATTTACAATATTCACGCAATAATGCCTGCGTTAGCGTGTGTCTCGTCCAGTCCGTCAGAGCTCCGCACCGCTCTGACCCCGAGCGGCGAATGACCGGTCCCGGTGTCGCGGCACAGTGGGCAGAGCTTAGCTGCGGCGCAACAGCTGACGCTGCAACGCCATACTAGCCTCTACCACGGTGCAGAGTTTTACGGTCAATTTTTACCATTACAAGTCAACGACAAAGGCCTTTCATTTTGACATTTTGTTAAAAGACCATATTAGTAAAAATTAGGTAGGCCCTTGAAACACATTGTGTCAAAGTTTGGTTGAAATCAAGCGTATAGGTAACGAGAAAGGGCCAAAAAGGACTGTTCCAGAGGGTCTGAAATGCGTAGTAGATTAGATTTTCAAGATATTCTACTCAGATGTGCGGGGTGCGCACAAAAGTGGCAAATAAGTTTTAAAAATCCTGAGCATCTATCGTTGTCTTATGTGTGGCTCGGTTTTCACTTTTCATTTCGTGTTTCCCATGCTTCTCATTTTTACTGGGTCATTTTTCATGTTCCAGACACTTGGCATTATCGCACTTCCCAAATTACGAGACCCGTCGTTCAACTGGCTGCATATGGTAGCGTTAGTTGCGTTTAAAATGCGGTTAGCCATCATCTCGCCATTCTAGCATTTAAGTGGAGCTGCAATTTTGAGACAGCGGAAGCCGATATTCACTGAGATAGGCACCCATTTTAACGGGGTACCTAAAGTGAATTTAAATCGCATTTTTGAGGGTGGTTGCTTTAAATTTCTTGGAGTTGTGAAAATATTGGCTTCCAGCTTTGTTCTATGGCCCGACAGTTCGCAACATTTCGGGCTACTAGTGAATCAAGGGCTCTCAGGTGGTCCGACCATTCCACCCAGCCCAGTGCCAAAGCAATCTGACCTGAGGATGACCTTTTCTCCGAACACTGAACAGAAGAGGCTGGCGCGACTGGTGCCATGAATGACCTGGCTGAGATGGAATAGAGTGTCTTCTTCGAGAATCGAGATCATTATTAATGGACACGCAGTGAGACCTGAAAAGACGTGAATTTGAAAATGGAAGTAGCGACACCAAAGTGTCATGCATCTAGGATTCGGCTCTGCCAACGCAAACAACACACAGGCATATAACTACATACACCATCAAACCGGTACCCGCGTGACACAGTAGAGGAGCGCCTTTGAATTCCAAAAGCACAACTGTGACAGCAGGCACGCTCAAGATGGCACGCTAGGCCAAGTTTGCCGCCCGGCCCCAAACACGCCTAATTCTGCGATAACGACCACTGGAGGGACGAGCGGAGCCCAGTGTCAACACGAGCCGCTAGCTGCCGCCACGGCGCGCCTGCCAAGTCAGACAAACAGCCCTGGAATGTCCGGTCGATACCGGACAATGAGGCAGACTAATCAGACCTTCCACCGGGAGCGGCTAATTGCCATGCAATGGCCCGGTCCAATTTCCCTCGAATAACCCGGCAGCTCGGCTGACAGCGCATCAGACTTCGCCGGCGGCTGAAATAATCAACTAATCTAAAGACACGTGGCGCTTGCCTGCGAAGCCATTGATTTGACCATGATGAGTTAAGTTCAATAAAAAATGTGTACGCTTGTCAGACTTACACATCACTTATTAAATATTCCGCGGTTGAAATCAAAACCATACGAACTTATTTGGTCAACGCTTAAGTTGACGTCCACAGTAATGTTGGCACCCGAACAATGGGGATCTATCGCACTCCCCGGCAGGACGCCGGAAGACACGGTGGCTGTGGCGACATCCGACGTCCGGCCCGTAAATTCCGGCCCGCTGCGCCACCTCGTCGCTGCGCGAGCCCGGTAAACCCCGCGCCAACGGGGCACATCAAACAGAGCGCCAGCTGAGGAAACCGGGCCGCCAGCCGTACCGCGTCGTACAGAAGCAGAGCCGCACACAGCGTAGTACGGAAGCTGAGCCGAACAACGTAGTAGGTATGGATTGGAAAGTAATCCGCACATAACATAGCACGGAAACTAATCCGCACATAACGTAGCACGGAAACTCATCCACAGTTCCACGCGGCGTAGTAAGGAAGCTCATTATATCCAGCTTCTGTAGACAAAACAACGACCATCACCGGACCATCCAACAGCGCTGAGAACACCACTCCCCTCCCCCGTGCTCAGCCTTCGACAATCTCAGTGAGGGTGGGCCACCACCACCGCAGCGGCGGCAGCGGAGCCGGCCCGGGACGGACTCGGACGGGCGTCCCTGGGCAGGCACAGAGCGCTCTGCAGATCAATGCAGCCGGCCGGAGAGGTCCGGGGAGCGGACGGCGGGTGGCGGGCGCTGGGTGGAGGGTGGAGGGTGGAGGGTGGAGGGTGGAGGGTGGATAGCACAGAGTGGCGGGTGGTGGGTGGTGAGCGGTGGAAGGAAAGCGGTTGTCGAGGGACAGGGAGGGAGCGGCCGTTGCGCTCGGTATAAGATACGCTCAAACCAGGCCCTCAGAGCTGAGAGCCGCTCTTCTCAGCTAAAACCCACCAGACAAAGGGAACGCCGTTCGAGACAGAACCCAGGCAGAGTACGGGCGGCGCCGCGGCGGAATGCGAAGAGCCGACAGCAACCCATAAAGGCAGACGGAAGATCGACGGTGGAAGGCAGATCTAGGGGAGACAGAACACGAAGACACAAAGAAGAAGAGAAATGGCAGAACACAGAAGCGTGGTTGGAATGGGATTCGTAGCCAGCCCGTGGCCCGTGAGAGGCTGAGGAGCCGGCGACGGGACCGACGGAGCGGCAGACAGACCAGACCAGACCAGACCAGACCAGACCAGACAGACAGACAGACAGACAGACAGACAGACAGACAGACAGATAGGCCAGACCAGACCGACCAGACCAGACCAGACCAGACCAGACCAGACCAGACCAGACCGACCAAACCAGACCATACCAGGTGTTGTATAGGGGACCAGACCAGACCAGACCAGACCAGGTCAGACAGACAGGCAGACAGACAGACAGACAGACAGACAGACAGACAGACAGACAGACAGACAGACAGACAGACAGACAGACAGACAGACAGACAGACAGACAGACAGACAGACAGACAGACAGACAGACAGACAGACAGACAGACAGACAGACAGACAGACAGACAGACAGACAGACAGACAGACAGACAGACAGACAGACAGACAGACAGACAGACAGACAGACAGACAGACAGACAGACAGACAGACAGACAGACAGACAGACAGACAGACAGACAGACAGACAGACAGACAGACAGACAGACAGACAGACAGACAGACAGACAGACAGACAGACAGGCAGAGACAGACAGACAGACAGACAGACAGACAGACAGACAGACAGACAGACAGACAGACAGACAGACAGACAGACAGACAGACAGACAGACAGACAGACAGACAGACAGACAGACAGACAGACAGACAGACAGACAGACAGACAGACAGACAGACAGACAGACAGACAGACGGTCTGCCGTTCCCCGCGCCACTCACCCAGCTGTTCGGCGGTCATATTCTCCTCGTCGTCCTCATCCACCTGCTCCATGGCCTTGAGCGGCTGTTCGGCACCCAACCGAATCCTGCCGGACGGGGAGAGCCCGGTGTCAGCGGAGGGGCGGTACAGCGTGGTGCGGAAAGGGGTGGGAATACAGACATCACTTCTGAACACTTTGCAGTCTCGACTCTCGGTTGTACCAAATCCCCTTACCTACTTTCGGGATTTGATGAGGGTTTTGCAAGCAATCTCAGGCGACCGCTCTGTAACCATGAACTGGTAAATACGTCAGCATCGCTTAAGATATTCAGCTTTCAGTCAGTTGGACTGCGATTGGTGGCAATATTGCTGGTCATAGTTTCGCCCATCTCGGTCGCGCGTCCATAACAAACCCTAATATGAAAACATGATTTACGCATTATGGCCACTCCAACTCGGATTTTCTCGAATATATTACCAAAGTGCTTTTCGCGGATGACAAAGAATGGAACTCGTGTCTCCAAACGCAATTGATAAGACCGTAAATTTTGTGTCACGACGAGATTATTAATGCTCCGAGAAACGGCACTTGTGTCCCGTAAGCGTGGTAAGAACGCGAAAACAGCATATGAAGACTCGAGGAACCACCGTCGAAATTGATATCTGCGTCCCGCACCCCATTGAGGAAATTCACACACTTATTCCACACGTTTGTTCAACTGCAGTCTGCACCACACCAAGGCAGACTATCACGGCCTCAGGTTTGGCCGGTCCATCTGTCGACCTTCCGCGCCTGAATGTGACATTTCCACGCGGTGTAGCGCATTCCTTGCATACCGACACAGCCGGTGCCGAGCGGTATGACAGCCGCGAGTACCGCACAGTGCGCCTGCACCTGCCTGTGCAGAGAAGCACCTCTGAAAGAGGTCCAGTGATGTTGACCGTGCAAGTATCTGTCCAGCGAAAGTTCCGGGAGGAATATGTCATATTAGTTGATGTTGCCCTCGTGTAATAATCGCAGGCGTTGGTAAAACATATCAAATGATTTCCAGAGTTTCCGTGAAGGCAGCAAGGGTGTTGTGTTAGTTTAGCACAGTCTCCAACACTGAGTGGGTCAGTCTAGAAACTCCACTGAACAAGTGGCTCAGGATTGATTTAGTGACGGCCGTAATGCTATCAACGACGCAATACTTGTCAGCGGTAGCGCGCTGGAACAGAGCATGCGCCCATATCTTACCACCACAAGGCACGTCTTTGCCAAAGACCGGTATTAGCTAGACCAACACCGAAAACCCGGCGCGAGCCGCCATCGCTCTTTGAAGTGGGCCATCTTTCAGTGGCAGCCTGGCGGTGGCGCCGGCGTGCCGCCCCCGCCCCCGCCCGTCGTCGCCAGGGCGGGGGCGGGAGCGGGGGCGGGGGCGGGAGCGGGGGCGGGGGCGGCGGTGTTGTGTTTGGACGCGGCGGCTAGCCGTCACCGGCGTCCGTATAACGCTGACATTGCCAGCCAGTTGCAGACAGACTGCTCCCTCAACAATACCGGCACTGAATACCGAAGGTCGGGCGGAGCGAATGCCTTGGTAGCCACCCAACCGGCCACGCAATCGGCCCGAAACCGGTTATGGTTCTGATAGGCCCAGCAGTAAAAATGCGGCTCTGCAGGCGCGTTTAGAATATCGGCGCAATCAGGACTGCGTAGTGCATTAGCTCGATTTGAGACTGGTATGCCTACACTACCACAGCTTGTGCCAACCTTTCGCTCGAATGGACAAAATCTTGTTCAAGCATTAGAACAAAAGTAAAAACACAAGGATGATACAAAAGCACGAAAGGGTTCTGCCACTGCAAATTACCTACTCCGACCCTCTCAGTCAGCACACGTCACATTTACTTGAAAAGGCAGCACTGAATTGAAAGGAGCAGTCACACCGTGTATCGACCCACCGTGCCGACTGCCAGCAATCCAGCAATGCTGCCAGATCCACCCAGCTACCCCACTCACCAGCGGAGGCAATCCAAACACGCATCCCAAGATAAACACCGCGGTGGGCGGGTACTTGCCTCCGCATTCAACATGTGGATGGGATATGGCATAGACTATCGTATTACTACTGTATTATAGTACTATACTAACTATATTGATATGGACTAGTCTATGGATGTGGGTAAAAATTCCGAATCCGAGAGTCCATTTCCATCGACTAATGTACCGTTTGTAAGCCATATACATAATTGCCCGTAACTTAGTAATGCAAGCCAGCTGATGTCACTGGCGGGCCGTCGCGTCACCATATCAAGGTCATGCTGCTCCCTGTCACGCTCTGGACTGGCGAGCGGGAGCACGTCAGCCTAGCCACTGTTATTACACCTGTACAAACGGAGTCGCTGCTGGTGGAGAGTGGCACGGAAGGGTGCCACAATCACCTCTGTAAAACAAAACCGTTTGCCATTGAGTGCCTGTTTAATACACAGCCTAGGTTCCTGACGTTCGATATACGAGTAGTCGTAAAACATAGCCGTGCGTACGGGGCACGCTGCAATACATGTGTATTAAACGTAGGAATGTCAAACAGAGGTCATCGGCCAACATGTAGTCGGCCCTGAACGAGAGAAACCAGCTGACCGAAACGAGCGGAGGGTGACGGATGAACAAACGCACCATCGTCTGGTAACCATCAATCCATATTACAATCAACATGGCATTCTGCGGCATGTTGCACAGCTTACACCTACACCGTCAATCCATATCAAAATCAGCATTGCATTCCGAAACATGTCGCACAGCCTATATGGAATATATACGATAAACGCATGCAGTTCTAAAAAGTGCGCCAGGTTGCATCGTTTTGGCCGGTCTTGTTCTTCAACGACTTGCGACGAAGCGCTGAAGTGACTAGCCTTCACAATCTCCTGGTCTTGACCATGCATATTGCATAAGAAAGCGGGTAAGCTGGGTCGTGTTGGCAATGAAAAATATTTCAGCTGAGTTTAATCACAAACTGCTAATTAAATGTAAGGCCTTGCCTGGGCTCTTTGGCTAACGATCACGAACAGGGAGTTTGCCGTGAAGGAAGCATTGTAATACAGTCACGATAAGAGGCATGCTGCTAATCAGTGGCCTGTATATCAGGGTCGAGCTAGTTAAATCCCTCTCAGAAACGGCTCTCAGACAAGGGAAAGCTTAAAGCATATCTAAATTTGAAAAAGAGCTTCATTCGATAATTGATAATGCATGCTGATCGAGCTTGCATCAGCCGACAACACAGGTGGGTAGAGCTGAATCATTTGGGCACGCTCGCTAAAAAGAAGCACTTCCAGCATATCACATTAGCTTACAAGAGAATACGCTCAAGTTGAAGCTCAAGTACCTGCATACCAAAACGCAGTGAAAGGGCAGTAGCCAATTTCAACACACAAATGCTAGGTAGTTGTTTTTATCACTTCATAGTTCATATGGTCTTACACCAGAACCGAATGCCAGCAAGTATGTAAGCCTTCAACAACAGTTGCCTAAGGTTAGTTGCGTTAGGAAAGGCCTTGGGGGTCAGGCACTGAAATAATTGCCACCAGATGGCACTAGTAGTTAACGCCTGCAGACATACTGTTCCGCAATGCTCAAAGAAACGCAGGAGGGCCGCGGGCGAATAACGCGTAGTTGGGATGGAGGGAAGCGGAGTGGAAAGAGATACAATACACCAAGCAAACAGGTATGTTCAGACTTCTTAGAGCTCATTCAGGTCACGAATATTCAAAATGACAGTTAGAGACCTAACGGAACCGGACCACACCATTTTCCAGCGACTGCCTAAATCCAAGGCCAGTTACTATTTTGATGTCTCGGCCATATCTTATTATCTCATCCATGTCTCGGCAATGCACCACGACTGTGTTTAACCATAAACTGATTACGTATTTACATCAAACTTGACGAGTGGAATCCTAATCAGTTTCCCAGACTTTTCATATCTCATGTCAGTTAACTACTACCAAAACCGACCGTCAGACACAGAATCCTCGCCGGCCTCAGATGCCAGCACCCCCCCCCCCCCCGACACTGGCTATATCGGCACCTGTCGCCGTATCACCAGACAATGATGTTGTCACCGCGCCGGCCACCAGACGGCCGCGACAGACGATCACCGTGCAGATACGCCCGTAATCGCGCCGCCTCAGTCTGAGATGGTGATTGCGGCGCCACCGCAGCACGGCGATATTGCAGGCGAGAGGGAGGTTCTAAGCAAAACACGGCGGAAGTGACTGTCCATTGTCATCGGAGCCATGAATGCCGATGTGGTGAATGACATCAGACCGATTGATCAGACTCCTGATTTACATTTATTTACGTTCGAGAGTGCAGGCCCTTAAGCGATAGGTCTGGAACATGGGACATATCCTTTTATCTTAACTTCTACTATCTTTTTCTTAAAAGGAAACAACCTGTATCTGTTTAGACAGCAGCCCCGTGCAATCGCCAATCGGTTCCATCTCGCCACCGAACCGTCTGTCGCCAGCGATTGCGTAGCCAGCGATCTGCCGTCCCGTCAAACCCAATCGTGGCGGCCACGACGCTGGTATTTGGGCCGGACCAATAGACGGCGACAACCGCCGCCGCCAGGGGCCAAGTTCGGCATCGATCTATCTATCTACGGGCGAAAAGTTGGCAGTTGGGCGCCCCGGAGGCCGCGGTGCATGGCGGTCGGCTTAGGGACCGGAAACTGTGCTGGAGGCAGGAGTCAATGACACAGCCGGAGGGACAAGTTTGCAAGTACTTTGGTACAACTTTGGCCAGTGCTTGAATGGGCTCGACTAAACTAGACACTTTGAGTAGGTACCCCAGAAATGGCTGCTAGGAATTGCTTCCGCCAGCCAAACAAAGAGTATGAAGCTTCAGCCAAGTAGCCACCGCATGCCTTACCCCTCAGGGTTCATTATATGGTAATGACATTCAAACCGCCTTAGCAGAGGTGCTATATCCCGATTTAGATGCAAAGTGAGCAGCTTCATCAGCGCAATAAAGAGGACCATTCCATTCACGAAACTGACAAAAGCGCTCGGCAACGAAGCCAACTGAGCTGGCAGAGCCGGCAGGCTTCGAGGCTGAATCAGCTCTGCCGTCTCGGTACAGTGGCAGCGATAATTGGAAGCTAATGAAATGCTAGACAAACTTGATAATGAACAGCTGCCAACCGGTGGTGTCTGACGAAAACTGTAATATCTCTGAGTGAGATCCACAGCGGGAACTGCTGTTACACCGCAACTGCAGAAGAGGCGAAAGGAAGAAAAGCATGAACTTTTCAGCGCTAGCTCGGTAAGCAAAAGTGAATCGGAACATCAGTAAAACCAATCTGTTGATTAAATGTGCGTCATCTTTCGTTCCAGCAGTGGGTTCACCAGCCCGATCAAACTCAGCGAAGACGCTGAAAAGTGTAAAAACCGCTGGCTCACATTGAATGGTCCGGCCTTCCAGGTGACGAACGATGTGTCCCGGGGCCACAATGACTCAGCCCTGAGCCCACTGCACTGTGCCAGCTCAGCGGCTGATGTCACCAGAGCACACGTGATTGGCCCCGAGTCGCTTCACTTGAAATATCCGCTCTGCATGTCGGCGCGGCGGTGGCGCTTCCCCGGCCCGTTCCATCTCTGCCCTGTCGCCGCGTCCTTAGGTCATCAAACTCATGTTTGTGATCTCCAGTCACGCCGCGTAGTTTCTCCGTCTTTGACAGCAACACAACCCTGGCATTCGCCAACCGCAGATAACATGTTTCTTACATTCCCTGCCGAACCATCCGACTCACTAACACTTTGACGTCACCGCTTACACCCACCAACCACGAGCCAGCAACAATCCGAAGAATTTCCTTTCAATAAGACAACACGCCACTCGGTTACACCACAACTACTGACGGCACTCACAGACGTTAGCCAGAGGGCGTTGGCCAATACCGCCGAGTGTTTACCGAAGGGCGTTAGAAGGGCGATACTGCGACCGGCGCTGTCCTTGATCCAGGCCGTGGACACCACCCGTGGCTAATCCCTGGCCGCGGCGGCAAAACGGCCGGACAACGCATTGCTGGCGCGCCGGACAGCGCACCTGACATCATATAGGTACGAGCCGCCGGACAAGGCGGCTGAACAGGTGGAATTTGGCAAATTGTTAAGCCCCACGTACATACGGTTTACCAACTCAGTATTTCACCGGATCAATAGATTATCAGCCCAACACGCGAGCCTATGTGTAACGCACAATTTCGTCATGGAATGAATTTCATTGAAAAAAAAACTATTATCAATACCATCCACTCGATAAGTCCGGTATAAGTAATGTCCACTCACACAATGAGTGCAAACAGCTAGCTAACCAACATCATCTTAACTGGTAGACCAAGCTGGTGACCTCAGTCCCCATCAGCCAATGATCTCACCCCCGTCCACCCGGCGGGAGAGCCGATAACGTATCGCCTTCTCCGAGACGTCACCTGACTAAGCACCCGTCCGCGTGAAACATACCCACCGCACCCTGCAACTTCACTCCACCGCATGGCTACCTGGCACACGCCCGGAGTCGGCTTGGCAGCCCCCGGGGCCCGGTGACATTTTTGAGCGTCTGCTCCTGCAGCCGACAGCGGCCGACGCAGAGCGGAGGGCGGTGGGGCGGAGGGTGATAGGCGGCTGGCGGTGGAGTCATGGTGGGTGGTGGGTGCCTGGCGGCGGCCGGTGGGTGGATGACGCTAACTTATGGATGCTGTGACAGCGGCAGGGCGGATAGGAGACGGTATATCAGCAGTGACGATGGACGGTGACGTGGACTGTGACTGCAATAGCTTGGAGCGGTGACGAGCAGAAGTCAGTGGGTGGTAGCCAGTGGACGGTAGCCAAAAACCAGCGGTCGGTAGTCATTAGACGGTAGCCAGTGTGCGGTAACCAGTGTGCGTTAGTCATTGGACGGTAGCCAGTGTGCGGTAGCCAGTAGGTGGAGGCTTGTGAGTGTGGATGGTAGCCAGTGTGCGAAAGCCAGTGCGCGGTAGCCAGTAGCCGGTGGCCAGTGACCAGTGTGCGGTAGCCAGTGTGCGGTAACGCGTGGGCGGTGCCCGTCTGACGAGGCTGGACCAGCGCCAGGGCGGCGGCGACTGCTGTCCCCAGCGGACCCCGTCGAACAACCTCCCAGGGAGCCCTCGGGCCACCCGATCGGCTCCGGTTCCAATCAGTCGGTCCGAGTAACTCCGGAGTATACTACTCCCATCGGAAGACACGGAGTCCGAGACCCAGACGACCGCGGTGTGACGCCTCGGTACCTACTGCGGCGCTGATGTGACGACACGCCATCGAGCCAGAGTGGCGGCACGACACCGAACGAGCTCACAGTTTACACGCCCCCGCGCTCTGCGACGCCACATAGATCGGCACCGTTTACGTGATCGGGATTCCACGCCGATCACGGCCTCCCACTCAGGTCAACGGGTCGATCGGAAAACAAACACGCCGACCGTCCGGTGCCGGTTCGTCCAGACACAATAGCATCCTCAGGCACCAGTCTGAGTATCGGACGGTTATAAATACAGCGCCGCCGTCTGGAGAAGGGCCAGGGCCCGGCTCCTCAGACGCCGCGGGGGTCGGACACGCGAGCGGCGTATCGATTCAACACCGCGCGTCGCAGCCCGGTGGGCAGACCGGACGTTCTCACTCAGAATTTCTCTCAGGGGAACTGATGTGAAGAACTGAACGCAACGGAGCGCCCCGCGCCTCCCCGAACGATTTCAGGCGGCGTTCGGCTATCTGGGTTGGGCAGCCGCAGCGTAGAAGTCGACAGGAGTTATCGCGGCGGCAAAGTTGGCAGATATGAAGCCGGCGATCGCCGAGCTCATTAACCTGATTGGCCGTACCACTGCCGCATTACTAAAGACAGCCCACCGTTTTCAATTACCCCCACCCCGCTAACTAATTCACGTCGTAAATTGTTCGCCGCGAACTTCCTAACCCCGTGGCCGCCGCCAAACTTCAACCTCCCGCCGTCGGACGGCACGGCAGCTGGACTCACTTTTGGGCGAGCACGTCGGAGTCGATGGCCTCCGTCTCGGCGGTCTCTGCCGCCTCGTCGGGACAGGCGTAGTTGAAGGGCGTCTTGGGCTCCTCGATCTTCATGTGGCCGTAGTCCTTGTCGGCCGGGTGGAAGGTGGCGATGATGTTCATCTCGTCCCACTTGGTCTCCTTCAGTGACCTGTGTCACGAGATACACAAGGTCAAATACAGGCGATCCGTGCGGACACAGGAGAGTGGGCTGACAGACAAGAATTATCACGCTAACAATAGCACATGCAGTATCGAGACATTGACTAACGCCCTCAAACTGCATAAATAAACACTTCTAGTCATAGGCGGAGCTACCGTGTGGTAATGTTGCAATAAGCGTATGACCATAGTCCAACTGGCATTGTATTTCAGTCAGAAGCGATGCTTCCTTGTTTATTTAGTTACTTGATTCTTATCTAGCTGACAGCTTATTTGACGTTAATCCAAAAGAACCACTATCATCTGCCGTTCCTTCGTCGACAAGTTTACGAACGACAAGCGACGTCCGATGGGCGATGAATACTGTTGGCACTAACTTCACGAGTCACCAAGTTTCTCTCAAACACTATTTAACACACTATTTCTCTCTAACACTATTTACGGATGCCTCAGCACCACTCTGGAAACTATTGCATCTTTTCAGGGACACGATCGGGTAGCTATTATGCGAATAAGGAATCACAGCATATCTCTTTAGGGGGAAGCCCGTCAGAAGACCAGTCCTTCCCAGTGGCGGATCCAAGGGGGGGGGGGTCACATGGGTCATGCCCCCCCCTTGAGGCCCGGGGGCCCAAAGACCTGCCAGGGGCACCACCGGCCTATCAGGGGTATCACAGCCCTGACAGGGGCACCACAGGCCTAGCAGGGACACCACGGGCCTGGTGCCCCTGAGCCCTGACAGGACTGTAACGCCCCTGACAAGCCTGAAGTGTCCCCGGCAGGCACGTGGTGCCCCTGACAGGCCTGAGGCGCCCCTGCAAGACCGGTGGTGCCCCTGGCAGGCCTGTGGTGTCCATGGCAGGCCTGTGGTGCCCTTGCTAGGCCTCTGGTGCCCCTGACAGGCTTGTAATGCCCCTGGAAGGACTGTGGTGTCCCTGGGCCCTGACAAACCTGAGGTGCCCGGCCATGACAGGCCAGTGGTGCCTTGCTAGGCCTGTGGTGCCCCTGGCAGGCCCGTGGTGCCCCTGACAGGCCCAAGGTGCCCCTGCGAGGCCGGTGGTGCCTCTGGCAGGTCTGTGGTGCCCCTGGCAGGTCTGTGGCGCCCCTGGCAGACCTGTGTTGACTGGTGGCCCTGCTAGGTCGCTGGTGCCCCTCACAGACCTGTGGTGCCCCTGGGCCTTGACAAGCCTGAGATGCCTGGCTATGACAGGCTCGTGGTGCCCCTGATAGACCAGTGGTGCCCTTGCTAGGCCTGTAGTGCCCCTGGCAGGCCTCTGGTGCCCCTGCTACCCCTGCGCCCGGAGAGGACTATGGTGCCCCTGAAAAGCCTGAAGTGCCTCTCGACAGGCCCGTGGTGCCCCTGACAGGCCCAAGTTACCCCTGCGAGGTCGGTGGTGCTCCTGGCAGGCCTCTGGTGCCCCTGGCAGGTCTGTGGTGCCCCTGGCAGGCCTGTGTTGACTGGTGCCCCTGCTAGGCCGCTGGTGCCCCTCACAGGCCTGCGGTGCCCCTGCCCCTAGGGTTGCTCATGGGCCCAACAGGCCCGTTGTGCCCCTGACAGGCCTGTCGTGTATACTTGCTAGACCTGTGGTGCCCCTGCTTCCTGGCAGGCCTGTGGTGCCCCTACAAGGCCGTAAGTGCCCCTGACAGGTTTGCGGTGTCCCTTAAAGGACTTTGGTGCCCCTGACAAGCCTGAAGTGTCAAGGACAGACCCTTTAGACGCCAGGGTCAAGTTCGTCGGACTGACAACGATTCGCTTACCTGATAACGTTCCTGGTAAGTACTCACTACTCAGCGTCCACAACATATATACACATAGCACCTTCATATATATTTGCTTACAATTGGTAAATGTGGTTGTGGCTAAGAGTTAAGATACTGACTAAAAATAAAAAAATAAAAAAAAACTGAAAATTGGAGCACCACCAAAATGAAGTGGACGAAATCCGTTGAGTTTTTAATTTTGGGTATAGGTAGGGGCACCACTTCGATTCATGACCCTCCCCTTGGAGTTTTCCTGGATCCGCCCCTGGTCCTTCCCGTTACAGGTCTGGCTTCAGCGGTCGCCGGCATTGACACATTTGGCGCACCATGTGATGCCGGTTACAACGGACGTATCGGAGGGACAAAGAACATCCCATCACAGAGTGTCATTATAGCAGCCACAGCCGAGCGGATGGCGTTTAATAATGCAGACACGTTTAACAAAATAGCACCCGATCTAAACCTGTCGCCACCAGACGGATGCGAGCAGTGCAGGTCAAAGTAGATTTGGCCTTCAACCACCGAATCGCTTCTGGCTCCGACCACACCGCAGCTGTTCTACTAATGCAACCATTGTCAGCTAGACAGCAGATGTGTGCGATCTGCGAGAATCACATCCTTTTCCAATTCAGGGCACGATAACAGACACACACGCATAGCGTGCGCCACACCCATACGCACACGAGCGCCTCCGGCATATGCAACACGCAATGTTGCACGCGGGGTAGTTACGTAAGCCCGAGTTGGCGCAGCGGGACCGGGCGACGTTTGCGGTCACGTCTGGGAAAGCGGCGGTTTGGCGACGCCGGCGAGAGGCGAGCAGGTTGTCATATGTCACGGCCGCTGTCCGGGAGTCTCTGTCGATTGGAGAGAGGGAAGGAGGGAGGGAGAGAGAGAGAGAAAGAGAGAGAGAGAGAGAGAGAGAGAGAGAGAGAGAGAGAGAGAGAGAGGACGGGGAGAGAGCGGACGCGGTGACGACAAGGGAAGACGGCGGAGCGGATATTGCGGTGTCCTGCGGCTTAACCATTGACATTTTGTCGCAGGATGAATTCAACTCCCCGGCTCGGTCGGCAATAGCGCTTGAAAGCAGCACCTTCCGCACTCACAGTTAATGGGTTTCGGGAGAATATACGGCGCACAGGGCTCATTGCGGCGATTGGCGGTGTTGCTACCCCTGGTACAGAGGAGACTACTGTGTGGTCGAGACCGCGCCGCCTGCGTCAGACCACCCGGTACAAAGGCTGTCGAGCCCGACCCAGGCCGGATACCGACTCTTTATCGGTGCGATTGCAGTGCTCGAACACGGCCCGGTTTATCGGCGAAGATTGCTGCTCGGTCCGGCCCGTCCGCTGGGCAGTGGGCAGCTACCGTCGGCCAACAGGGCGGCTAGTAGCTGCCCCATCCCGGCTCGCTCGGTGGCCATCGCCGGATGGTAAGGGCATCAGTTCAGTTCACAAACTATTCGGTTCACTATTGGGGTGGCGACACGACAGACATACCACGAGAGCAAGAGACACCCAAAACTAAAAACGGTGCTATGCCTGTGGCGGGAACATGCACAGGAATACACGCACTACACAATGCGCAAGACTAGGAGTACCGATACATGGATAAATGTAAAGCTCTCGATGGCTAAACCAGAATCGATAAAAGACAGGTAAATAACTAATCAATATATGTATGTACGTTGGATGCTCTGTCCCGAATGACGCAAGCTTGCGTCATAAGATTCATTTCTAGCGTGAACAGTAAACGACACTAACATACGACCATAACGTGGTGGGATAGCTGTTGCAAAATGGGTTAATGGGAGCAGAGTAATATGCAGTACCGGGCAGCCGCGGCCGTGTGCAGGTACTACAGATTAGCCGTCAGCCGATAGCGGGCCCGACTCGGAACACGAGGGCCAATTTGTCACGAACTGAGTTAAACCACTCTGGCGCCGGGATATAAGCGTGGCTGGTTCACCGTAATCGGCCGGGAACAGCGGAACCGGGCGGCGGGCGTACGACGGGGTGAGATAAGGCAGCCAGGGAAGGTAAAGGGTTGGATAGGGGAAACGAAGAAAGCAGGAATTGATCAGAAGGCGATTCAAAACAGGGACTGTCAATGTTTAATAAAAGTATTGTACTGATCACATATCTGTCATGTGTTATATATTTATGGATGCCGAGAATATTGGAATGTTTCAAGTCACATCGCAATATCCCGATGCGAGGAGTTGACAGGCAAATAACAGATTCGCCATTTTACTGGAGGACCGCCTCGACTCACTGGAATATTGCATTTCCACCCGGCCACATTAACACCTCTGGGAATTTATTACAGGGCCTGGCATTTCGGACGGTTTGCAAATGGGGCCATCCGACGGCAGCAATATGTAGACGCTGAAAATTATATTTAGGGACGGGTATTGAACTAGGCGCTCTTTAACTTGCACAAAGGAGTTTTCAAAGACCACCCATGAGCAGCTTTCTTTTCTGAGAGCAAGACTTAATGCAGGTACAAAATATCTCAGGGCGACCGACGCCAGTCACTATTGTATTATTCCAGTTGATTGTATTTGCCTTCTAAAAACCTGGCTCCATGCAATTGCCTAATTATTTATTGATTCTTGACACCAGTCACTATTTGCAGGTGCATGCCCTGCTGGGTAATGTGCAGAGCACTGTGGTGCACTGTGGACCTTAGACTGTGGGGAATGTAACTGTAGGGAATGTGACATTGCGTCTTGGAACGTATGATACGCATGCTGCATCAAATAGCGGCTTACACAAGCAGCTAGGACGACCGCCTTCTGCGCAGTCAAACACCTCAGCCGTGTCTCGGTAGCTCCAGCGAATGCTGCTGCTGCCACAGCCGCGAGGCATACTCGTAAGCCGTAGGTCGATCTCGGCCGTGCGCCATTGCCCAATACACCGGCCCACTGCATACCAAACGTGCTCAGGTGCCGATGGAATGTCCCTCAGCGGAGCCGGGCGAGACACTCCCTAGTAACTGGTGGCAATGAATGCAACAGTGATGGGCACCCCAGCGACACGGAGCCGAAGCCATGTCCATCTACAGGACCAGTCTGCCCTATTCATTGACGAAAAGTCTATATAGTCGTTTGTATTCATTCGCATTACGATTGGACATTCTTAGGTGAACAAAAATATCATTGTATTATGGCCCCAGCCCCGGTTGGTTGGCCGATCTTCTCTCGTTCTGAACATAATAAGCCTGATAAGGAACAAGATCCTGGTAGGCTGTGATACAATCCTGCGACTGAGCGTCGTCGGCTAGATTAATGCAATTATACTAATATCATGACAGCCAATCGAATCAAACTGATGGTGTTATAGCCAATGCAATCAGACGTCCACGAATTTGACGTAAAAGATTTGAAAAGCATATCATTCGAATTCAGCTACACAATAATTTCATTCGTGCACAAATGCCAACGAAGTGACAGCGTCCTTCAAGGAAAAAGAACCAGACGTATTTGAATAACGGCATCACCACAAGAACCGGTTGTATGACGAGCTGAGATGCCAAACTTTTTGTCAACACTTGGATGAAGTGAAACGTAAACACGGCTATCTGGCCCAGCATCAAACACGTGGAAAATGACAAACATTACGGTATGGTGAGCCACCGCAGGATCGTCACAGCTATCAGCAAATGACACAGCATCGGCTAAACCATCGTACATGATTAAACGGTCGCTATCGCTGGTCAGTGGCGCTGTGATTGGGGTTCTAATAATAGCGGTAGTTCGACGCCAGGGTAGATATGTTAGGCCAGCATTATCTCGGGGGAAATGCTGCAGGCATTGGGAAAGACGAGGACGCTATAGGCATTAATTGGACAAGGAGCCTATGCTCAACGCTCATTGACGATATACTTGTTATGCAGACGTTTGGTTGCCAGGACGGGATAACTTACGAATGCTGCAAATACAGGCAGGGCGGTGCTTTGCCAATTAGGTACTAGACTAGACACAAAATTAATTCACGAACTACACACCAAGTAAGAAATTGCTAAATAGGTTATGTTCAATAACATTGAGAAAATTACCCAAGGTCCGTTGTAGACGATCAGCCCTTGATCCCTAATCCGGTAAGCACTTTGCTATTTTACCTACAACTTTGAGCATTTAATTCGCAAAAAGCACATGCGGAATCAAATGGTTACCTGCGTACTTGCTATATGTATTAGTACTGCATCATAATTCTAATATGCCCTATTTTGGCACATTTATTTAGGTACTTAGTGTCTTTATATTATTTTGTTTTTTCGTCATTTTTCGATTAAGTATGAGCAAAGGCTATTTCATCATCACTAAAAGGTACTTACTTAATTGGGGGTTTCTGTAAATGGTCTGTGGATCAAGAGGTGCATCGACCGCAAGGTCATTTGCGCCCACTACCGCATCCTTTGTGTAAAGGCAAGGACACCCAAAAGCAGACAGCATGTCAGGCAGCTTGACTCATAAGAAAATGCTCCAAAGTGAATCTGTAATCTACAAACAATTTATAAAAATTGGAAACATGCACAGCAAAGTTGTTATGCTGAATCGAAATGTCTGAAGTAAACGCAGTAGAAATCCCATGGAGTGATGAACACTGAATGAAGTGGAGGCTTCACCCTCGCCTGTATTGGTGTTTTGCCAGCCGCGAGCGTATGGGGGGAGGGGTCCATTGCCCCCCCCTGCCGTACGGCCCCTGATCGAGCTAGAGAGAAAAAAAACGAGTGTGTTTCCTGTGACGAGAGGAAGCCGATAATACCCAGTTTTAAGGTCTTAGGTCATCAATTGACCTTCCAGGTCAGGGCAAATATCCAAAATTCGGAAAAATCGAAACCTGACAGAACTTCGTAAAGTGAGGTAGTTATGGGATTTTTTTCGGGGTGTTGATCACGAATTTCATGTTAGTTTTGATAACAGATTATGCCTTCATGCATTTACACCAGGTCAGGCCAGGTCAGGTCAAACAGTAGGCGTCCTGCCGGATTATCATTGTATGTGTCAACCCCCACTGAGAGCTTCGTAAGATGTTACGAAGGCACCAAAACTACTTCGCAAATGTTCAAATGGCTTGCTTAGTTCGAAATAAGCTATAAAAACTAGCCTAGAAGCATATAAAACTAGAAAAAGTGAACCAAGGTCATCAAAGGTCAATGACCTGACCTGACCGTCATGTGACCTTGACACCCACCCTAATGCACTGGACCAACATCATTTCACATGCTTGGACGTTTAAAACCACAAAAAGACTGCAAACGCGCCGATAATGTGAGCCGACATACGCCGGTCGCCGAATCGCGATTCCGGCCAAACATGGTCTCGAGAAATAAGTCACAGGTCAAAGGTCACGGGTCAGGGCCATGAAATTTTCAGGGTACCTACATGTAAAATTTATTACCTCAAGGTTGCTGAGAATTTTGTTGCGATCGGTTGCTTAATCGGTTGCTTTTTGCGCGAGTTATTTGCGAAAAACCGAGAGGGTCCATCAACCCCCCCCCCCACCTAGAAGTGTGAGGGTTAAATGTCTGGAGAAGTCATATTCTTATCCTCACCCTCCTCTGCAAGTTGGAAGTTGTATAATCCTGATTGATAGTGAAAAACTCCATCTTGGTGGGCAGCACCATTGATCAAATCAATTTGAACAGTGAAAGCCAACTGAGCAAAATGATAATAAAGAAAAGTCTTGCTGCATGCATTAAGGCAGGTGGCTTTGTGGCAAAGCATTATTTAGCAGATCCTGTCTCATTGCATTCACATTTGCATTGTGATTAGGTTCTCAATCCAGTTACTGACAGGAACGTGATAGGTACCTATTGGAGATATTTGACATGCACTCTTTATGCACTCTTTATTTCTAAATAGATTGTCATGAATAAATACATACAGTCAACAAGAGGACAGCATACAGTCAGCTAGAGGACAGCATTGAGAGAAATTGTTCAGACAGGCAAAAAGTTATAGGTAAATTGCACTTACGACTTTCTCTCAGTCTTGTCAAAGCTGGTTGAATTCTTCAGGATTCCCTTCTTGGGGGGCTTCAGCTGCTCAGCCATTTTGTGAGTTTGTCTGACAGCTATATAGTTCAGTCACTCTTGTCTCCAGGCCACAGTCTGAAAGGACAGAATGGGAATTCACATATGTTAATTAAATATTTCATTATCTTTCAGATCTGATCTGAAAGAATTTCTCTACAGGGAGCCAATATTCAATTGTGCATTGACATAAACCAACCACATTCAAGCTAACTAGTATTCCAAAAGTGGGATGCCGGTGAAAACAGGGCGCCGGAGGGCATATTAGTCACGTGACATTTGGAACTTCTCCCGCTCCATGGGCCTTCTATATCAATATCCCAAACATCACGTGTAAATTTAACGAACCTTGATCAAATCGCCCCAGGCGCCCTGTTTTCACCGTCGTCCCAAAAGTGCAGGAAATGGGAACCCAACAACAGAGTCCAAAAGTGGAGTCAACCAATACAAATAGTCATTAGACGATAGGATACAGTGACGATAGTCAATTTTGATCTCTATTCATGCAATGGAATCAATCTAGTCTTTAAAAATGGCTTCAGGGATCACAATCGTGTTTCAAGAACTATTGTCAAAAGGATATTTCTATTTCCATCAAAGCATGTCGCTAGCAAGTAAAAACAGATCAGAATTTTGATATTCATTGAATAAGCAAAGGCAAATTGAAATGACCTTTCACTTTGGGATGATTCTGATTCAAATCAATCACCTACAAGTCAGCTTATCGGTAACATAAGTTATGATGCCTGGAAGTACTTCCATGATATTTCAGCAGCAAACTTCATTGCTTCATTTGGATTTTGAAAAATGTTGATCTCCGAAAACAAAAATTGAAACGCCATTTTTATCTTTCCATTGCATGATCATGATCTGCTGCCTACCACGCGAGATTTGACTTTTCTCACCTTTATATGTCGACTGCCAGGACAGTTCCTAACTATTCGGAATTTGAATACAATTCCAATTCCTGCAAAATCCGACACAAAGTCCCCCGGATCTCCCACGTCCACACCACTCCACTTTTCAACACAAACTGATGGGAAAATTACATTCAAGATATTACTAAAAAGAAAACGAATTTCTTAAAGCCACTCATCAAATTACGTCATAAAAAGTAGGTAATGAAAATTCTAAGTTTCTGGAAAAGTGGAGATCATTTTTTGCCCTCGGTTTATTGATGATTTTTTTATATTCGATAATATGTATCCGTGGTCTGACTGAACATATTTGCATCAGTTATCATTCGACTGAGGACGTTATCAGACAAAGTCGATGGCGTCACTTTCAGGCTAGTACGACATATCAGACGCTAACCGGCCACGATTTCACCGCCCTCTACGAAATGCGGTCATCTCACTTTGCAAGCGACCTCTACAACGATAGAGGAATCGACAACTGGCAATCCGGCCTGATCGCGTCTCTCCGGTCTTGCCACTTTGGCTATGCAGTGGTGGTAAACGGTAATGGGCTTCCACAATTACCATAAGCTCCAGGGAGGTGCCATCCCTACACCTCCCCTGCCGTCCCCTGCATCGTTCATCACAAATGGCTATAATTAGGATCTGAATGCCAAAATTCATGGTAGGAAGTTGCTTTCAAGCACTGTCCAGCTCTCAAATGGGCGATAGCCACAACGCCCCCTGCAGTCGCACCAGTCTTAAAATTGATAGATCCACTCTAATGACAGGCACGGTGTATATTCAACCCAAAATGCACATAAATATCACAACAAAACAACCCCTGTTCCCTGCGTGACCATGTGAGTAGCACTGCCCGCTAGCTGCGCTTCAGTTTATCCCCGACTCGCTCCCTGACCGCCTGGAGGAGGCGGGGCTCGCTGTACACTGCCGCGGCCACCACGGCGGCCCCACAGAGCGCGCCCACAGCCACGTGGGCGGCGGCGGAGCTGGGGTACAGCCAGCTCTCGGAGCCGGCTGCCAGCAGGCCGGCGGTCACCAGCGCGGCAGCCACGGCGGGCGGCGGGCGGAGACCGAGCAGCGGCGGCACGGAGACCGCCGGCTCCAGCGGCAGGCCGGCCACGAACCGGTAACTGGCGACACACGGGGCGGGGACGGGGTGAGAGGGGTACGGGACACTGTAACGGGCATCAGCAACACGCGTGATGGGGATGGGGTGAGAGGGGTACGGGACACTGCATCAGGCATCAGCGACACACGGGGTGGAGGCGGGGTGGTATGGGACATTGCACCAGAATATAACAGCAGCATACGAGACGGGGACGGGGCGAGAGCGGTATCGGAGTCCGGACACTGTATCGGGAGGCAGCAGACAGTGGTATCAGTCGGTGGACGGGTTTGGAAATTAGTGTAAACTACATCGAGAAGAAACGAATACAGCGTGATACTAACTAAACTTAACAGTATTTCTGAAGGAACCGCTTGGTTCCCAGCGACAAAAACATACACATGCCATTGCCAAACTGCGGTCAGAATGACATATTTTCATATGAGCGTCGTAGAATTACGCCGAAAAAAACTCACCAAACGTATATCCTGGTCAGCATATTGACGCAGTTGGCGAGGATAAATCCAACCCCGCCGAATAGCCTAGTAAAGATCCCTGTCGAGACGACGAATATCACAGATAGCAGCACCATCTTTCGGTTGTACCTGAAACGCCAGGAAAAAACGTCAGATCAGCTGCCAAAGCCTGCAATAATAACGTTCCTGGCTTCACTTTATCGCCCACGACTGGCCAGCCTTTCCACTTCGCTTTTAGCCGCAAAAGGCATTCTAACAACAAAAACCAGCATGAGAACGCCATTTCCTAAATCCTAATCCTCTTAGCATCTACTGACTTTTACCTCACCCCTTACTAAGCCACAGACCATAATTCCCGGCCGCTTTCGGGAGTATCTTCGCTCCCACTCACCCATTGATCTCTTCCTCGCGCATCACCGCGAACGTGTAGCACTCCAGCACTCCGTTCACCGCCAGTAGGAGTACGTAGGCGCACTGAGCGCGCAGCAGACTGACGGCCGGACCGGCGGCCAGCAGGGCGCCGCCATACAGCCGCAGCAGCAGGTGGGAGTAGCTCCAGCCGAACGTCACGGCTATCAGGCCGAGCAGGCTCATGGCGCGCAGCAGGTCGTGCAGAACCCGGCCTGCCGCGGCAGACACCGGCTGGAGGGGGGAGGGGTTAGTCAATGCGTGGAGGGATAGGGAGATAGCAGATAGAAGGGAGAGAGACAGCGACTTCCGAGTTGCAGAGGATATGGTAGCTGAGGACGCGACGGCTGACGGTAAAGACGAAGAGCCGTAGAGGAGCTATTGGCATCTTGTGTAAGAGGATAGACACTTGTCCACAGCCCTACCATTAACCACAGCCTAACGGCGCGCCCCAATGCACTCAGAGCTGTTTTCTATTGGAATGTCACTAGTCAATACTCATACATAAAAACTGACTCTGATCACTAAAAAGCACGTCATTCATTCCCAGCAGCCAATCCTATGACAGCTCACCTTTCCCCGTTCCACCGTGCGCGAGAAGTAGACGTAGGCGTTTTCCTCGACTGGCTGAAAGAGGAAGCGGGCCGCCAGGCTGCCCAGGTTGGCCACCACGTCGTACAGGCCCTGCTCGGAGAAGTCGAGCAGGTGGAAGGCGGTCATCAGGTAGCGCTCGCCCTCCGTCAGCAGCTGTTTCAGCAGGCCTTGCTTGAAGAAGCTCCAGGTGAGGGCCAGCTGGTCACGGTCCAGCGCCGGCTGTGGAAGGGTGAAGGGAGGAGAGGGGAGGAGAGGTATTACTGATCAGTGGGTAGAGATGGCAGCACCGGTTACATCGCCACCGTCGCGACAGGAAATGTTAGAGCCAGACGTGGTAAGTGGGGAGATGTGGCAGCACAACTTGGGCTCTATTTCTGAGGATACTCGACCCAGCGCTGCCGTGAGCTGTCTGTAACACAGGTAGGTCTTAATACCGTTTGACTGCAATATAAGAGGCCTTAGAACTAACGTTCTAGCTAAATGAAACGAAGAATGCGACGACTTGGCTAAAAGAAACCTCTATGACCGCGAAAACGATTGACTACATTTGAAAACCCGCCACTTCACAAAGAGTTCACTGGCCTCACCTGTCCCGGCACCAGTCTGGGTCCCAGCTCGCTCGCTGACTTCACCGGCAGGCAGTTATCCGGGGATCGGACGTGCCAGAGCAGGGTGCCGTAATAGATGACCACCAGGAGAGCGGAGCTGACCGCGTGACCCACACAGTAGGCCCAGATGGCGTGGGACGGGTACAGGGCGATCAGCCAGGCTTTGAGCGCCACCCGGCTGCACAGGCTGACCATGTCGGCTACCACCTGGGGAAAGAGCGAGAGAGTGGGTGAGAGGGGAGAGAGAGAGGATGAGAGGGCGAAAGAGAAAGTGGGTGAGGGGGAGTGAGTGGGTGAGAGGGATAAGAAGACGGCATGAGAGATCATCCATATAGGTCACCAAGGAAGGGATGATACAGCACTTTAAAGCGGTGGGAGCGATCGACGATCCGTAAGCAACTATACCGTAGCCAGCGCTTTGAGCTTCCGATACAGTTTCACTGAGTAATAGAGTCCTCTAAGAACCAAAGCACCTCACCTACCTCCTGACATCCCATCCCTCTCCTTTCCGTCACCCCACCGTCATTGTTCAATGTTCACCTTTAGTTTGACAAAGAGCATGGCCTGCGCCAGGATGACCAGCGGCTGGGCGGCCGTCTCCAGTACGACCATGGCCGCGGTGACCCACACGCCCAGACGGTACTCTGAGGTGACCTCGGGCGCCGGCTGGCTGAGCGCGTGCAGCCAGAGGCCGGCCAGCGCCGCCGACACCGCCGCTGACACGGGCACGCTAACAGGGGAGCAGGGCGTCAGTCAGAGGCAAATACAACACTGGTCCTTTTGTAATGCACTCAGTTCACTGGCAGTAAAACATTACATACTTATGTGCCTATGATGATCCCCACATCTGAAGAAATGAACGTCATTTATCGAGGCAATGACCTTTTAAAACCACTTACTACTAAACAGAACTGTGCCGATTAGCTGCTACCCATTGACTGCGTTTTTGAAGTAGGTAGGTATATCGACAGTTCCCAGCAAGCACATCCAAAGTGTTAAATTTTTGAAATTGAGATTTCTATGCCATTCGACTCAGCTCGTCGAGCTGAGTCGAATGGTATGAAAATATCAATTTCGAAAATTTGACACTTAGGATGTTCTTGCTGGAAACTGCCGATATGTAGCTTCTCCCAACCGCTGTGACCATTTCCAGTTAAACTGGTGTCCGGAGTGATGTACCTGAGCCACACCAAGTTGATGGCCTGGCGCCACTTGCTCCTCTCTGTCACGCCCAGCGCCGCCCGACGGAAAGCCTCCACACTGACAAAAGTGGCAGTCGAGTAGAGTAAGGCCAACCTGGGAAGCAGACCAGGGCTTCAGAACTTTGAACAGAATTGATTTACCTACTGTAAAACTACACTTAAATAAAGAGCTGAATGTCAGTCAAAAGGAAAATGTAAGTAGGTGCATGCTTATAAAGATAACCAAGTACACACAACAGTTGTGGTGAGATAAAAGCATATGTTCTACTTAGGCTAAGGCAGTCAGACACAGTGGATGCATCACAAATGCATGATAGGAAAAAAGTAAAGGGTGCATACCTGACATTGATGATGCCCAGTACATCAGATGTAATATACCGGAGAATGACTGCATTTGTGATGAATGTGAACACTCGGTAGGTTATCTGAAAGACATTTGATAGGTAGCTTCAGCATCAATATGTGCAATACAGACCATGCTATTCTGATCTCTGCAACATATAGGTTATTCATTGAGAATGTCAAAATTATTGCATTATTAAGAAAAGTTTGTCTTTTTGATATCACTGTCACCTCAGCAAACCATGAGTCAAAATAATTAATAATAATATGCCTACCAACATAGCCTGTGGTAGGCACCTAAAAAGTTGTGCCACAAAACACAACAATTTAACAGCTATCTTTTTGTTGCATGAGCATTTGGCTCAAGGCTGCCAGTGCATTATACATTCAGCATTGCCGATTTACCTTGGTGTGATAGGAATTTCACCTGGGATGGTGCATGCCCCATGATGATAGGTAGGTGTCATGCGGAATCTTACGACTACCAAAATAACAAGGTCGGCCGGGATATGATTCAAATTGGCCCTATTATCTCCTGGCTTATGCTAGTGAATATTTCTAAATTTCACAGTAGGCAGAAATTTTTGGCCTTGTTCAATGCAAGCTGATGTGGATTTCCTGTCTGCTTGGTGTGGAGGTGGACTGATTCCCCTGGCTGGCATGGTGTGTCAATCTCCTTTCACGCTACTTTGCAGTCTGCATCAGTTTGAAGGACACAACAGTCGAAAATAGCAATACAAATACTTTGGTAATTTTTAGACATTCACACTGCAAATGTCATTTGCACTATTGTACTAAATACATCAGTGGTGCAATGACATTCTTTATCATTGTGAGAAGCTTTATCTTCAGGCAATGGGAAGATGGTATTGCATTTTAAGCAAGATAATTATTTGCACTTCATTTTTTAGAATGTCATTGGTTTTTCAAGGGCAAGGTTGAGCAGCAATCAAGAGACAAACCCCAAACATTCAATTATCTATATTGATACCTATCTTTTCTTTTCACTTGCCTTTATCCTAGCAGACTGCTAAGTAGGCGGAACCTGACAAGGTGAGTAGACAAGGCGAGTAGACAACACTTACTTGAACAATAATTAATGATGAGGTTGAGTGCAGCATACTTTTCAGCACATTTTTGTCCTTTTGCTCCTCCGTAGCCATGCTTCGATTGTAAAACTTAAGTCCCTAATAGGGAATTCCTGGATATTGATATATCAAGATTCTTTAGACAAAGAAAAAGGGTGACTTGGCAACTCAAAAAACAATATATTGCAATATTCCTGAGCGCATTTCCAGGTATAAACTGCCTTGATTTCCAAAATGCGTCAGCATTTCGAAAGAATTATATTCCATTTGTTCGTCGACACCGTTCCACTAACGATAATTGGTCAAAACACCGGCGTTGCTAGGATACCTGCTTTCAAACACATTGGTTGCCTAGCAACGACGGCAGCATGTTTCTGTTTTTTGCCTATTAGAACAAATTAACTAGTTTACAAATATAACGCGTCTGCTAAAAAATAATATCAGGTTTATACTGCTAAAATATTGTCAACCTCAATAATAGAGTGAGTCACGATGAGTTTCATGTAACTGGATTGTTTATGTGTTACAACTCCTAAGACAATTTTCAGTGAGCCATGTGAAATGTGAATCGATAAGGATTCCGAAGAAAGGTAAAAGTATTTTGAATCGGCTGGACACAGATTGTCCTCCAGATCCGACTAACACGATCGATCATCCCACTATACATACATATGATTCTATTTCCACCGACCATCTCCATTTACAGCTGACTCCACCGACAATCTCCCCGACTGTCTTAGACCTCGTCGAGACCACGTCCGTCTGCTAGTGACACCAGCCACCAGTCAACCCGCCAACTGTTCCCCGAATTTAATTGCCGTCGTTTATAAGAACTGCACCGTGGTCCGTGAGTCGTGACCATCTCAAAGTGACTCCCCCGACCACCGACCACTGACCACACCGAGTGTACTCACTAGCCGCCCCACTGACATCAACAGCCGGCTCTCACCGACTGCTTCCAGTGACCTCATCAACCGTCTCCCACTGACCCGTGCTGACAGTCTCCCGCTGAACCCACTGATCATCTCCCACTGACCGTCTCCCACTGACCCCACTGACCACCTCCCACTGACCGTCTCCCACTGACCGTATCCCACTGATCGTCTCCCATTGACCGTCTCCCACTGACAGTCTCCCACTGACCGTCTCCCACTGACCGTCTCCCCTGACCGTCTCCCTGAACCGTCTCCCACTGACCGTCTCCCACTGACCACTTCCCACTGACCACCTCCCACTGACCGTCTCCCACCGACCGTCTCCCACTGACCGTCTCCCACTGGCCGTCTCCCACTGACCGTCTCCCACTGACCGTCTCCCACTGACCGTCTCCCCTGACCGTCTCCCACTGACCGTCCCCCCTGACCGTCTCCCACTGACCACCTCCCACTGACCGTCTCCCACTGACCGTCTCCCTGACCGTCTCCCACTGACCGTCTCCCACTGACCACTTCCCACTGACCACCTCCCACTGACCGTCTCCCACCGACCGTCTCCCACTGACCGTCTCCCACTGGCCGTCTCCCACTGACCGTCTCCCACTGACCGTCTCCCCTGACCGTCTCCCACTGACCGTCCCCCCTGACCGTCTCCCACTGACCACCTCCCACTGACCGTCTCCCACTGACCGTCTCCCTGACCGTCTCCCACTGACCGTCTCCCACTGACCACTTCCCACTGACCACCTCCCACTGACCGTCTCCCACCGACCGTCTCCCACTGACCGTCTCCCACTGGCCGTCTCCCACTGACCGTCTCCCACTGACCGTCTCCCCTGACCGTCTCCCACTGACCGTCCCCCCTGACCGTCTCCCACTGACCACCTCCCGCTGACCGTCTCCCACCGACCGTCTCCCACTGACCGTCTCCCACTGACCGTCTCCCACTGACCGTCTCCCACTGACCGTCTCCCCTGACCGTCTCCCTGAACCGTCTCCCTCAATCGTCTCCCACTGACCGTCTCCAACTGACCTCCTACCGACCCTGCCGACCCCAACGACTATCTCCCACTGATCCCAAACTAGTTGCTCGAAGTTCGTCAGTATCTCTGGTCATTCTACCGTCTCTTTTCTGCCCCTTATCATGCATAAGATATCCTGTCCCGCCTGTTTCTGTATTAGGTTCCAATGCGGCTCTGATTGGCCACAATCAATCCTCATCTAATTTGGCCTGTAATGACATTATGCCAGCTTCATGTGCCGGAGAATGGAAATATATAGACGCAATAAGCGTCGCCTGTCTATGCGTGGATAGGCTACCTGCTCTTATTGAGCATTATCCGCGGATTCGTCGAGTCCGCACAGATCGATTGTGACGACATTAATTGATGTCTCGACGTCCTGTCAAGTCGCAAATATTCCATAATATAGGTACTGTGAGGGACAACTACAACGGTATCGCATCGCGTTGATGCTTTGCGACCAATGACCGCGAAGCCGATTACGCACACTTCGAGGTTTTTTAGACAATAAAGTGCGAAAGCTCAAACCCGAAACGATTTACTGCTAAAGCTCCTTTAACTTCTGATATACACTATACAGCACAGCAGTGTGAAAATTGGATGACAATAACCCGGTCCGGAATCTTATACATACCCAAATTGCAACCCAAATTGCAATCTTATGTAGGTATACCCAAATTGTCAAGAAAAATGTTCTCACTAATACCCGTCTTATTAGAGCTGAGACCAATATTCACCATCCAACGACACAAATTCACGTCGCTACACTGACCAGTCGCCATCCAGACATTTCAGTGCGGCTGTAGTAGCCAAACTACGTGTAGCTGACCGGATGCCGGCTCCCCGACTCCGTCCGCCTGGCACCGCAGTCAGAATGCCGGACCGTATAGGAACTGCTGACGACACGAGCAAACAGTGCGCGAGACAGCCGGCCGGCCGGCCGGGGCGGCCGCAATTCACCTCCGACCGGCTGACACCGATTATTCCATCGATTCGCCGGTCTGCAGACCTCGACTAGGGGCCGATCGAAGGCCGACCATCGGCGCAGGACACCGTTTTTCTGCGCCCTGCAGACTGCGGGGCAGGTGCTTAGTTATTTCATTAGATTTTCTGTGTTTTGTCAACCTACATCACTTGGGACTAAGCTCCAAGAGCTAATTTATTTACGGCACACACAACACATGCCATTTTTTTGCAACGCTTCGTAAAAGCTATATTTTTATCTTCACATGCTTTATCAGCTCGTCGGCATCGCGCTTGTGTGGATGTGCGTTTTCCAACTTGAATTCCAAAACTATTCACGAAGTACAAATCCACACTTCTATAAGCGAATCAACTCAAACGTAAAACATGCAACGGACGAATATCACAGCAGCAAGTGGCATAACAAGACGCGCTATTTAAATCGCAAACTTCCGTAACAGCTCTCTGAAGTTTGCCAAGTCGCACTCTTCGACAAACCAACAGGTCTGGAAGTTTTCTGGGCGGCGTAATTTTCGTCGCCGGCGCTGACTCGAGCAGGGAGGGTGGTGGTGGTGGGGGGAGGGAGGGGGTGTCCTCGGTCGGGTCCGGGACTCCAGAAGTCAGCGAGGCGTGGTGTCGAGCCGGGCTCGGTTGGAGGAGACCGCAGCTGCCTCACAATCGATACCTCCACCCAGTTCAGTTTGTCAGACTCTGCCGATCAATCGCCGCTTTTGAGAGCCCGGTCCGGACAGGGACAGACGGCCGGCAAACAGACAGACAGACAGACAGACAGACAGACAGACAGACAGACAGACAGACACAGAGATAGATACAGCCAGCCAGCCTGCCAGACAGACAGACAGACAGACAGACAGACAGACAGACAGACAGACAGACAGACAGACAGACAGACAGACAGACAGACAGACAGACAGACAGACAGACAGACAGACTGACAGACCGACAGACCGACAGAACGACAGACCAACAGACCGACAGACCGACACACCGACACACCGACAGACAGACCGACCGACAGACCGACAGACAGGCGGGCTGGACCGACAAAAAATAGATATTAAATCAGCCATATTTTGATAAGGTTGTTCATATATTAAATGTACTATACATAAGGCTACACCGATCGAAAAAAAAATGTATGGGAAAATGTATGGAGGCCGTAGCGTCACACATCAAACTGTTTTCTATGACATATGTTCTGTGTTTTAACAGCCATTACATATTCTCGCAGCCTGAAGTGGCTAGCAGTTTACTAGGTGGGCGGCGCCAGTCAGTTTGTATTTGGTGGAACGCGTCGCAATCACACGGGCAGCTGCGGAGATTCGATGAATATTTATCCTTCTGCGGCTCGGATAGGAACCGCAGCGTGGCGCAGTACTAACAAACAGCCCTGTGGGAGGGCTGCGGCCAGTGTCGCGTGTTTCACTCGGTCCGCGTGTCCTCAATACCTTGGTGTGTATTTGGACGGTAGCATTTCTCATCACGGGTGTCAAACACAGGCTTTATTTGCGGTCTGTTTCCGCCTGAGTTGGTATACAGCTGCAAAGAATGATAACTTACGAATTCAATTGTTCTGGACGGTGCTAAGGAGAAATCAAAATCTACTGTTATAGTGTAAAGTACACATGTCATGCGTTCATTAAATATGTTAACATGTAAAACGCGTAACTCAAAGCATGAGTAGCTCAGCACATCAGGAGAGCCCATATCTATAGTATTTTAGCCTTTTAGGTCTCTAAAATATTTTCCAGAACATCCGAAGGTTTCTACCTACAATCGACATACAGCAATCACATACCATAGGTATACAATGTTATCATGAATAGAAATGCAGTCGGGCCTCTGGCTGAACCTGGCTGCGCGTCACGTGACTTTATGGCACCCCGCGGGCTGAGGTGAAATTTGTGACGCTCAGACGGTCCGACAGCGGAACCAATTTGCAGTATATTTTGATCCGGCGCTGGTCAGGGGACTGCAGACGGAATCTGCACTGTAACCTCTGGTGCTGACCCGCCAACCTGCAGTTGTGAGTTGTGACCATGTTGTGACCTTTGATACCATGAATTGTCCGGTAGTCGCTTGCCACCGCAATCGCATGTCTGAATGGATTTAGGCACTAGCGATCTTATCAAGCGCTTGTAAATATGTGTATCCAGCAAAAAATCATTGCTGAGCCAGTGTGTATGGCTGAGCTCAGCCATAAAGAGGCATGTTGATTGCCATGTCGAACATCCCCGGCCTCAACACAACATTTCAGAATTCAACCAACTATCTGAGACCGCTGCCCATCCGGTGCGCGAGCTGCAGGCTGTTTGTGTTGGCTCGGTATCCCTGTTCGGCGGCCGGCCGTCGGCCGTCTCTTTCGCTACTCTCTGTTGCTGCGGACCGTCAACAGCACTTAGCGGCGGTGCGGAAACAAAGCAGCTCCGCTCTGGCAGCGATCTGCAACAATGGCCGGCCCCGCCGGGCGCGGTCGTGTCGCCCCATCAAAAGTGAAATGTCATCCGGAGGTCAGTCCGCGCCGACGACACTGCACAGCCAGCAACGGCTGCGCGACGGGGTGGCAATTGAAAACAGCAGCGGGTCCGACTCCACTGGAGAGCGCCGCAGAGCTCTGGTGTGGTCCGCAGATAGTGTCGGTATGTCGCGCGGAGCCTTCCCGAGTATCAGGGAGCGGATCAGCGCCCGCATAAACACTTTAAACGAGTTATACTGAGGAAGACGTTCTGAGCTGCCGCGATATACGACGCTCCTGAAATGCGGGTGTATCATGAAACGGTGGAAGCTGCAACCTGCACTAAATATCTGTCCCTGCACAGAACACTAAAATTGTGGTATGTGATGACGCGTACCTCAATTATCGAGGCCTATCGTGACAACTGCTTTAGCTGTATTATTGATGCGTTGATGTTGCACATTGCATGATCGCCGCAGTTAAAAATACACGTTATGACATTATTGATGTGCGTTATACAATCTGCATTGTGCAATGTGTATTGTGCATTGTGCAATGTGTATTGTGCATTGTGCAATGTGCAATGTGCATTTGCATTTGCATTGTGCAATGTGCATACCCGAGCAACACTAGGTATATGAGGTTCCTGGAGAGCAAACTTTTATTCATTCCATTCTCAATGGATTAACCAGCATGAGCAAGCCTCAGAGAATAAAAGTTTTAAAATAGGATAGGAACTTGAAATGCCCAATCTGCGTGGAAAGCTAAATTGAATCACTAACACTCCAGTAGTTCATGATAGATAAATAACACTGTCTCCGACAGTGTATCATTTGTGTTTAAATTGTCACGCGGCGACCGTTGCCGACCACTATCTCACTCGGCCACAGGCGATTGGGTCGCTGGGTGACAGTATTTGCACACCCAGACGTCCTCATTCGGAGAGCGAATGGCGCCATAAACTGAGCGGTCGTAAAACTCCCGGCTGGAGCGGCGAGTTCTCAACTCTGCCGCTCCAGTCTCCCGGCCTTCCCCGCGTGAAGCTCCGGCAAACACTGCTGCAGCAGGAGTTTTACCCGAGCTGTGCAGCTCACACCGTCCGCGCTATTTTTGGCTCAAAAAGTATCGGAGAGAAATCACTAAAACAAACTTTGCAGCCCTCGGCGACGCTGATAGAAATCACGGCTAGCCAACTCTGCAGGGAAGCACGCGACGAATCGGATGTTTTTCCCGCCTCGTTTCGGAAACTGCCGAGCTGCAGCTGGCAGTAGCTGCACTCAAACTGTGGACGGGCCACAAAACCGACTGCGGTTAACTCGGGGTGGTTGAAGTTGGGTAATGGGAACACCTAGGGACACGTGGCCCATTACCGTTTTATTTTACCGTCTTCCCGACCAGATACATCACTATTTTCTTACTTAAAAATGCGCATTCCTAGATTTTATCATAATCAAACAAACAAACAAAAAATGTTGAACATCACGCACCTAATAAATTTAAAGTCAGAACTTTATTTTTCTCGCTAGAGATGCCGTTAGCTTATACATTTATTTAGCCCTAAGTAATGAACTCTTCCACGCACGGACAGCTGACAGGTAGTCGTTACCCACGCCGCTATGCCATTACCCGTGGTTTGATGGTCTTCACTTTTGGAGACCCAGACTGCAGAGCACAGTCCCACAGTGAGGGACGTGACCTCGCGTGACCTCTTCACTTGAACACGGGTTCACTGGGTGTACTACGACCGCGCCCTGTGCCCTTTCTCGTCCATGGGACACCGCCAGCTGACATGATGGGCCCAGCGGACGGAACACCGCTCGTCACTCACTTACAGTCGTAACCAGTCGCACCCATCTGAGACGGGTCTCACAGGGGTGCAGTTCAGTTCCTAAAAGCCTCGCACCGCCCACTAGATCCGGTGGAGACTCAACAAAGGGATGAATAGAATGTTTGTGTAAATGCGACTATCAGTAACAACGTGACCGTCTGCCCACCAATAACACTAAGCGAGACAGTCTGGTGCAGGGATATTGGAGTTCTTTTATCTGGTCTGCTCAGCGCGATAATCTCTTCTGGGAAGCGGCGACGCTGCGCCTCTATAACCTTGCCCTGCTAATATGTAATGGCCAGTGGTTCTAGGAATGACTAGGGCAATCAGACTCCCTGGAGGAAAATGGCTGATCAACATTTCCAATTGGTGGTTCTCATGGCGATAGAAGAATATGATAACGAGAAAGAAAAAACGTAGCACAATGACTAAGAAATCCGGCACAGACCGCAATACTCATTGAGACCCCAGTACCCGTGTTTCGGCAGACAGCGTCCGGTCTCTATCTGCGGCTCCGTGGTCCGGCCACTCCGGGTGTGGGGGTGGCCGGCGGCCGTGGTCCGGCCACTCCGGGTGTGGGGGTGACCGGCGGCCGTGGTCCGGCCACTCCGGGTGTGGGGGTGACCGGCGGCGTGGTCCGGCCACTCCGGGTGTGGGGGTGGCCGGCGGCGTGGTCCGGCCACTCTGGGTGTGGGGGTGGCCGGCGGCGTCTTCGGGCGCTAACTCTCAGCGTGCCCTATCGACCGGTGCCCTCCGCGCGCGGCGGGCCAGGTCTCTCAGCCCTGACCGCCTGTCGTCGGCACCGCGCCGTCGCCGCCGTCGGGGTCGGTCGCCGCCGCCGGCCGGCAGTGTCGGCGGGATGGCGGCACGGGCGGCGGGTAGTGCACGGGGCTCGGTGCCGGCCGCTCAGCAGGTGTAGGCACGGTGCACGGGGCGGCGCGCGGCCGCGGCGGGCCACCGCCGGAACCGGAGCCGCGGTCGGAGCCGGGGCAGGAGCCGGAGCCGGAGCCGGAGCAGGTGGACCTTCTGTCAGAGGAGCGACCGCTACGTGGAACGGCTTCAGGTGAGGCTCATAACGTGCTAGCTGGGTCAGTAGGCCAGCGGGACAGTATGCAGTATGAGTGTGGTCATACCACTGGCTGTTCGAGCGAAATAGTCCTCTGCACTGTCGGTGTTCCCCCGTGTTCGACGCTTAGCTGCCTCCATACTCGTGCTGCACCAATGACTGGATGTGTCGACAGATATTTTCCTGGGAAGAGTTTTTGCTCGAGCAATTCTTTGGAGACAGGATGGTAGCACGGGGCATAATGGGCTCCTGCAAATAATATCTTCAACCATTGACGAACATCATATATAGGTCTGAGACAAACTATTATCATTTACATACCGAACACGATTGGCAATCGTAAACTGCGCTTCTTTTTAACAGAATGGCAGACGAAAACTTTTTTTTGTGCCTAACTGCTTTGAAGCTATTTGCACATGCGGTGGCACTCAGTTTTCACTCAGTATGTTATCAAAAGGTTCATATATATGGCCTATTGTATAATTAGTGTAGGTATAATGCCAGCTTGCTATCCTCATCCATTATGTTCGGGTTGCGGACTGACACAACAACTTCCCTGTAATAAGATGTAAATTTAAGCAGGAACACACATCACCCGTCCAGTAGAGCATACGTCGGGTCGTTCAGCCACAAACGGGCGCTAGTATCCCACTAGTATGATTCTACGATAGCTCAGTAGGAATCGGGTGGGCACAGGTGCGCCCGAGGCAGCGCTCTCAGGTTAATGGTCGCTCCGTGACCGCACACATGGCAAGCGGCTGGTCGATGGCGATCATAGCGCATCCGCTATACGATGCTGAAACACTTAGCCAGTGAGGCGACGTGATGAATAAAAAAGGCAACGTAAATCGAAATTTTACGTAGTACCTACATTCGTGCTTTTATATGAGCGAATTTGTTGAAATCGGAGATGATTTGTTGAGATCAAAGAGTTAATTGAATTGCACTCTGGGCAACAAATGTGGAACTGAACATTGCTCTTAAAACAATCCATGGCGTAGTAGCCATAGCTGTATTTTTGCAATGAATGCCGTCAAAATCAAAGTTGGCTTATAACTAAAATTTTAGCTGTCCATGCGCTTCATTGTGCGCTCCACAGGCAAAAGTAAAAGTTTGAGCCCGTTACAATATATTTTGTGAACGCGAGCAAACGACTTTGTGGAATAATTGAACATGTGATCCCTGGTGAAAAAATGTGTGGGAATTCATGCGTAGAGGCTGCAATCCCATCAGGCTCACTTCATTCCATCAGCTTATGCCATTGGCGTAAAAGCCAAAGCGCGTATTAGATCCGTTGGCCGCGTTACTACGCCTCATGCGTCTACTAATAGCGTGTGATGTTCAACGTCATGAGCAGCTGATGATGTCAGGGAATATAGCAGTTTTCAGGTAAAAAAAAAAACGACTTCGTTCTACTGTCCAAGATTGCAGTTTTGAGAGTCCTATGCCAATTTAAGACGATACAAAACAGTATTTTTTCGGTCAATGCCATCAAAACGTTTGTGGCAAAGACATGTTTCCATGTGGTACAAATTGTTCCTATAAGCAGATAAATGCATAGCGCACCCTACCATCGTCTGCTTTCTCCAATGAACTGAGACTGCATTGCAATCGCCAAGGGCAAGACATCTCGGGCACATGATTACGTCCAAAGATTTCCATTTCGATGGTTTGCTGCATTCTTTTGTTAAGAAGATAGGTATAACCGTTTCAAGAGCCAGCAAGTCTCTGTGGGGAGCACATTCAGCATGGAAATCAGCAATCGAGATCGTACAATTTAGCCCGTTGAAATGAGTTCTTCCGTCAGTGATCCTCCGACCAAAGTCGTGTAACGTGCGTCTCTCTCGATTAATTGCTTATTGTTGTTTGTCTACGCTAACCGTCGCTTCTATTTTAGTGGGTTTAGGATTAAATAGTTTGTAGTTCGATTTTACCTGCGTGGTGGCCCTATTTCAATTAGACATATTTAACGTTCATTATCTCTGCCGTACGGGGCCGACTTTGCCGAGACCCCACACGCCGCTGCGCTGCCGTGCCGCCGCGCCGCCGCCCAGCACTGTAAAAAATGTTAGCACAGTTTGAGTTTTCTGACTCACTTTAACGATGTGTTCAAACAACTAACTTGCTAATGAATCCGTATTTATCGAGTAATGTAAACCTTATTGCGAAGCAAAACACGGTTAGTCCAAATCAGGATGAACTAGCTCGGAATCCCCATGTACAATGACACTGTTCGAGTAATCGCCATGTATTCATACCCGCAATTGGCGGACACTGTGTTCCGAAACACGAATACGATTTTGTGGAAGCATCTTTGCGCACGGTTCTACCGTGTTGAATGACACGTTGCCGTGTTTTACCCCTCTGCGTCGAGTTTAAAAACCCGAATGGGATTATTTGGGCCGCGATCTTGAGGGACATTAACACCAATTAACACTGTGGGTTGTTAACTTACTCGGTTCAGTTTCGCGCCAAATGCAGCGCCGCGTGGGCCTCAGTCGCCATCTTTGTGCGATCCAGGGAGGTCGTGTCTGTGCTGCGTGTGACGTCTTGTTGGTAAGTACAAGTGATACTTGCTCCAAATTTTTCTTAGCAATAACATCAGTGATATTAAATGCCTTTTAGGTGTGGTTACATAAATATTATCCGTGTAGCGTGGCGTTATGGATGGAAAGGAGGAGCCCTCGGCCCTGATTCTCATTCTGTCACTCCACCACTGGTGGCTATGTGTGCGTTTGTAAACATGCTACTTACATGAATAATTTTGACTGTACCTTTTCAACTTTTGCTATGTATCTACCAGCTAGTTATAATTAGTCTGCCTGGTTTCTCTCTTGCCTCTCTCTCTCTCTCTCTCTCTCTCTCTCTCTCTCTCTCTCTCTCTCTCTCTCTTTCCCATGGTATCTCCCTCTGCTTTTCCATTTGTCTGTGGATAAGAAGTAGGTAGACATCTGTTTGGCTGCGAACTGACACAATTTATTTATTTCAGAATATGGCTCAAGATGAGCAGAATGAAGGTCAATCTCGAAGTCCCACAGTCAGAGCTCAAGACTGTCAGGCAGGACTTCATTCCTTGATGAATGCGGCTCAACTGCTAACAGGATAAGAAGGTATTGTCCTATTTCTGCCGATTTATTATTTCACATATCACAAATCACAATTAGTGTCTGCATGGGACTCCGTTGTGTTGTATTTTAGTAGACTAGGATTTTGCCTTCTATAATATGAAGCCGATATTGAAAATTAAAATCACATGTTTAACATATTTATTATCGTCAAAAGCATAACCGATTACCCAAATCCGACGAGAGCCCGGGCGCCCCGGCGCCCCGCTCTACCCCTGCGCTCTCCCTCCCAAGGCCCCTCCCTCCTCTCTCGTCCCGCTCCCGTGGTCAGCTGTCCCGCTGTCCAAGCGCCAGGCCGTTGCCATAGCGACGGCTGACTGCCTCCTCCGGCGGACGGATCCGGACGCCGAAACTCAGCCGTCTGTATTTTGATGTGCATTGGCTATTGGGTTGATCAGGGTTGATGTTGAACGTTACCGATAATAGGTATAAACTATAGAGTCGATGGTGAACTTACCTAATCGCCAAGTATGTGTTAGTTTATAAACGTTGGCCTTTCGTGTAGAGTATAATGGCAGGGAATGGCCATTTAGAGGTCAAGGGACGGTCACTTCAGTAAAGGGTGCAAGCTTAACCCGCGACGCCCGCGACCCGCTGGGGAGTGGGAGGCACCCCTGTTGTTTCTCGCTGATAACTCAAAAACGGCCGCGATTTTTAACTCGCCGATTCTAGTACTTCTCCGGACATCAATTTCACTCAACTCCTGAAAAATGCTTCCTAGGTCACCTCGGGTCATGAGTTATGGGGGTCAAACTGAGGTCATGTTCGGACATTTTCCGTCTAAAAAATAAAAAAGTCGTTCACGGGAATAAATCACAAAATAGATTTTCAATCAAGAGACTCAAAAATCGCACATTAGGTACAAAATGCATGGCAAAGGAAACTGCTGCCACAAAATTTCCGAAAAAAATATCATGATTTTGATATTTCTACACTCAAAACTCCGCCAGGTTTTTTAATTTAGGGAAGTTAAAAACGGAGCATATGTCGGAGAGATCCTTATTCCTTATTGCCTTTACAGGGTGTCTCAAAAAAGTGTCACGGTTTTGAACATCTCCCGTTTCGTAACCATACACATCCTAAAAATTAACAAAATATGTGTGTATAAACTGCCAGTGATATATGTAGTTATTTGCAAGACTAAAAAATAAAAAGCGACTGTTCTTGTGACGTCCGATTTTTTTTTCAGCACTTGTTAGGTACTGAAAGTAGTCTAGAGTAATATCTACGATACTTGCCCCTCTCTCCCTGACTAAATAGGTATCAACGTTTTGTCGTCTCTTTTAAATGATAAGTCACTTTAGTAATAAAATGTTTGTCATTATAAACTGCTACAATTTGACCTTGCTTGCCGTCCTGTGATGTCATAGGTCAAAGAAAAATGACGTCGAGGAGACGCGTCGAATAACCTATAAGTTGACCCGAAAAGGTCAACTTAAAAATTTGACCTCAGGTCAAGGTCACGGAAAAGGTCATGTTGCATGTCATTCGATTCGTATTGTTAAGCTGAACACATTCCTGGTGTTTTCAGAAACTGTTTGAGACGGTTCGTGACCTGAGATGACCTCAGAGGCATTAAAGGGGTCACAGGTGCAATTTTCCGGTTCATTGTGCCATGTTCATCTGTGTCCCGATGTTTGAGGGTATTTACGGCCAAAAGAAGCGGATTTCAAGTTTCTTCCATTGACTAAAAGTCAGTGGAGGGTCACAAAATCGACCTGACCTTAGGTCACAGATATCAAAATTCCGAGAGATGCAAATTGTTCATACTGACAAGCTCATGCAATAGCATGAGTTTCAAACTTCTGGGATGTACGAATATACTTTAGAAATGACTGAATCACAAAGTTTAAAGAGGCATGATCACTTAAC